CTGCCAAAGCCTCCAGCCTTTGGAACTCCAGACGTTTCTCCTGTATGTGGGACCAGCCACATGGAAAGCCTCCAGGACTCCACCACTTCGGCTTTTTACCCCACAAAAAAGCATCAGGGTTTGCATGTCATATTGGATGATTAAAGGAAGCAAGGCTTTACCGAGTAACACTCTCTTCAATTTGTATTTAAGATATTGGATTTCACAAGAAAGCAAAAACTGTAAAATCCAGTTGTTTTTTAGGTTATAAAAACTATACATGCTAATTGCATGAAGTGTAATTAAAGGTGATTTAAAAGATAAGGAATGGGTCATGCTTTAACCTATGTCTATGACTACTCTGTAGTGAAAATTGGAAGGCCTGAATGGCAGAGAACAACTGGTTAGGGAGCTACTGTAGCTCTGGGCGGTGAAAAAGACTTTTGAGCAAGTAAGAATATGACAGACTTTAAGTTATGATGTTCAAACTGGGTACAATTGTTAGGTCTTTTTTCATTAATGACACTATTTATTGAATATTTATCATTTATATATTTCATATTCTCTTTCCCTCTTCTCTCACCTAGTGCTAAAAGAGTCATTGCAACCACACCTTATAGCTATTAACCTAAACAAAGCTGTGAAGCCACTTTCAAGCAGTCATTAAAACTTCATTTGTGCCGCCCTGCACTTGATATTCAAGCCACCGTGAGTGAGCGGTGATTTGTAGATTCAAGGAAAAGAGGCATCAGCTCTGTTTCTTGTTTCCCCCAAGGGGTGGTCATGTAACAATGCATAGCCTTTCTGAAATCGCTGCCCTTAATTACCATGCATTTCATTTTGCAGTGGTTAGTTTCAAGTGTCAACTGGACACAATCTAGAATCACAGGGGAAGAAGTGTCACTATGGGATTGTCCAGCTAAGGTTGGACTGAGGACACGTCTACAGGGTACTATCTTGATATCTTCATCACTGTTCTATTGCTGTGAAGACATACCATGACCAAGGTAACTCTTATAAAAGTAAGAAATTATTTGGAGGTTTGCTTACAATTTCAGAGGTTTTAGTCCTTTAACATTATAGCAGAAAGCAGACAGGTATGGCACAGGAACAGTAGCTGACAACCTTACATCCTGATACATAGGCAGTAGGCAGACACACACACACACACACACACACAGAGAGAGAGAGAGAGAGAGAGACTGAGAGAGACTGAGAGAGACTGAGAGAGACTGAGAGAG